ATTGCCAGTGCCCACCACTTCAGCTCCAGCACGGACAAACCCTCGAGCCATCAGAGTTCAGTGCCCACTCAGACAGGAGCTGCTGGAGAGCAGCGAGCTGGGGACAGGCCAAATTGTGATTCCCTGAGCATGCGTCACTGCAGCACTGCAGCAAAGCAGATGAGCAGGTGCATATCAGTGCTTTTCATCAAACAGAAAATGCTACGGACAGCGATACGCCTACATAGTCAGTAAATGACTATTTGCTTACTAAAAACGGAAGGAATTTGCAAAGCTGTCATTAGAATGATTTGTAAATTATGGGACAAGGGAGTGTTTCAATCAGATAAATTATTTATGTAAGAGCTGGATGAAATTCACTTGCCTTTCTTGACTTCTTAACACTAGTTGAGGAGCAACAATACACTGCACCATTTTGTTTTGAGAACTCCAAGAGCTTAAACGTTGACATATCGTAACAGCAGAGAACTGAAGAACCTAGAGGGAACAAGGGGCAGGAAACATGACTCTGGGCAGAAAGCCCTGATGTGCAGCCTGTTTTCTCCTGTCTGGGAAAACTATGTCCACTGCAGTTCTACTCTTCTAAGGCTGAAACAATGCAGAAAAAAAGAGGATGACATTTCAGGTGATGACAAGTGTAGGAATTCTGCTCCAGTGTAGACAGGTAAACCAGGAGGTATCAATATGTATAAATACAGAGACTGGAAAAGACACATAAGGAACTAGAGGGAAAGCTGCAATTCCTAGCAAGAGAGTTTACCAAATACCTTTGAAAATCATGAGTACATCCTCTGCTGTACTGCTGTCCAGTAACAATGGATACCACAAGAGATACAACACCGGTCCTAAATGTGAAAGCTCTAGATTTGTAAGGACAGCAGAGGCTGACTTTGATTGGGCTCAGGTTAAAAAGAGGCAGCATCCAAAAAGGAGAGAACTGTGCTGGCAGATGGTTTGTTGGCCTCCTCCTATTACTCCAGGTGCTTTTGACTTGCACAGCACTGTCTAGAACTATCTAGAACATTTAAATACGAGCTATGCCCTAATTCAAGAGGGAGCAAGAAGACAGTTTAATTCTTAGTACTTCTAATAGGAACCTTGTTTCTAAGATTTCTATTGCTAAAAAAACTTTGGTGATGTGATGCTCATAGGCATGTGTATGATCTGATCTTTATAAAAAATGGTCTATGCTTGGACAGCAGGTAAAACTTCCATCACTTTTTAAATACACAATACACTGAAAAATACAAATATGTTGAAGGGAACAAAAGATAAACAACTCAATAGTTGAGCAGCCCTCTGCAAAATCTATTTCATACAGTGTCACATAGCAATCAAGAATCCTGCCAGCTCTTGAAGTGCCAGTAAGCTACCACAGAGACAACACAATCTGCTCATAGATTCATTTCCCTTCCACCTAAAGCCCAGCGCTGCTTTAGGAAACAAAACTGCTGTGCAGAAAACTTAGCCCAATTCTACTGGTCAGAAGATGTTGTTGTTCTTTTCTCCTGTTCTTACTAAAAATGGAAGCCTTCAGTGACCCAAAACACGAAAATCCCATTGGATCTTTAAGTCACAGTGGGCAGATACAGTCAAAACAAAAATGATAGTAAGAATTTTACCGCTGCCATTGAAAAACGACAGTATCTCCATCTTCAAAACGGAAGACAGAATTTATTACCATTCATTTCTCCAGCTCCTCTTTCAAAAAACAAACAAACAAACAAAACCAACCCCATTTTTAAGTCTCAAATACTATAACTGTGGGGAGACAGTTAAACAAGAGGGAGGTTTATTACTATTTTGGTGCATCACATTTGATTGAAGGCAGAAAAACACAAGAAATAGTATCTATTGCAATTTGAGGCTTAAACATTTCAGATAGTATATCCAACAGCTTTGCCAGTCTCACAGCCTTGGGCAAAAACATGCCCCTTTTCCTGCTGTTACTTCATTTCATGCTATAATGCTTCCAATTCTCATTTTAAAAGGAATTATGTACATTACCTACCTGTTGCACAGAATCTGCTTCCTATGGCTACTCATAACCTTTGCAGATGTTGCTTCATCGTTATCGGTAAAAGTATGAGTCATGTTCAGAAAGGAAACAGCATCTGGGAGAACTGCCTTGATAAATTAAAGAAGAAAGCATGTTCTTCTTGCTAAAGACTATCTAAAGGATGGTGGGAAGTTGGAATAAAACATGAAAGAAACAATATGCAGAACTAAGTTTGCTACATTTTTCTTTTCTTCTTTGCTGTGCTGCATAGTTTTGTCCTCACAGTTACACATAATTAATTAAATACCATTCTGTTTAGCCCATCCACACTGCTGAATGCGTACTCTTGACCTTATTTTCTTGGTATGTCTTTACCTTTTCACACTGATGTAACTCATGGGCATGGTGGTCACACTGGCAATTTCTGTGCATCCTCATCAACCTCTCCTAGGCCAAAGACTAGTCCAGGTTAACACCCCTCACACTGTTTCCTTAACTAACTCACATATTCAATGGTTTTTCCCCTGCAAGACCAACTTCTGGCTACTAACATTAATTAATCATATTAAATTGCATGAAAATATTGGACCCTGAAACAAGAAACCTCTAAGTAAAGAGATGAACATTTACAAAAAGATTTAATATAAAAACTCTTTTCCTAAACACTGAGCAAAAGATGTAAAACCAATGGGGAAATCCCACATCCATTGAGGTCACTGACAAGTTACTAAGCATTGCCATCTCAGTGGGATTGCGGGGGATCATTCCTGGGTAACAGAAAGCACTGCTCAACAGGCTGTCAGAATGATGAAGATTCATACCTCGTGGACTTTTCTGCACAGAGACGTGCTGTGTTAAATCCTGGGTCACATATTCCTCAAAATGAAAACATGGAAAATTCCTGCTGCATGCAACATCTGAAACAGCCGTGATTCAAAGGGACAACATGAGCAGAAGAGGTGCCAAGGATGTCTGTTCTCTGGATTGATTTACAAACTAAGATTCTTCTTAATCATGAGATGTTTCCCCACCCCATGTGAGCAATGAGTCAGGTTCAGTGTATCTCAACGCCATCTGGAAACTCTACAAGCAAGGATAGCTCCTCTATTGAGCTTTTCAATAGAATTAGCTTTCATCCAGTTGAAATCTTTGTTCTGAAGCTGTACAATCCCTGCCCTCCTCCTTCATAAGTCAGGTTTATGCCTCTTCCATGTGGTTTTGATATACTTATAGAACTGGAGAGCAAGGGAAAAAACAGACTAATGCCTTAAGGAAAGGACTCCCAAGATAAGAACTCTCACAAAATATTATTCTCAACATCACCAGGTACAGTGTTCTGCATTGTTGCTCTTCTCAGCTATGACCTTTCATAAATGATATCAGATGGTGTTTGCCTTATCCAATAGACTGCACCATTGTTAGAGGCATGCATGCACATACATAACGTAAATTTCTCTATTAATAAAGGCAGAAGAAGGTAACCATGGCAAATTGGGTACAGATTTATACCGCTCTGTTTCTGCAGATTACTTTTTTTTCTGAATTATATTTATGCATTTTTATTTCAAGTTTGTTTAAAGATAAACATTACTGACTAATTAACTTGTTCCTATAATAGACACCCAAAAACCTCAATGAAAGTATGTTATAATTTCAATTCTAGTTATAAATTTTGTGGCTTGAGTCACAAATGATTGAAGACTTTAACAAGCATGCCCAAGACAATCTGACTGCAGATGAAGTTATCTTTATTTTATTTTCCCCATAAAAAGAAGGCTTAGCTCAGCATATTGCTTGCAGAGATACCCAAAGCACAATAGCTTGTTTTGGGCTGCTGCCATTTGGTTTCATGCTGCATCCCCATCTAGAGTCATCAATCTTTTAGCACCAGGAACACGATTAATCATGGCTGTTGGTTTGGTTTTGTTTTTTTCATAGGGAAAAGACAAAAATCACAGTAATTTTTGTAGAAAACACCGCAAGTTACTTCATCAATAACAGTCATTTTTCTTCTCAGTACACACTAATAGATTCCCTCAATGAAACCTGCTTGTCTTTACAGTATACAAGAAATGCAATAACATAATATATATGCAAACCAACCAGTAGAAAAAAAATACATGAAAAAGTAGTCTGCTCAGTTGTGCTGTATAAGGCAATAAATGTCCTTTCACTTATAGCTGGACCATAAATAAAAACCAGACAGGGTTGAGTAAAAGGTGTTTATGTTACTTTGGAGGTTATTTTCAAGTGGAAACAGTTTTTCATCTGGCTCACAAGAAAAAAAAATATCTCTGCACAAACTGATAAAAGCCACGATATAAAACTTAATAGAGACAGAAATCTTACAAACTTTGATGAGCTTTATGTGAATTCATGCAAGATACTTGTGGATATCAAAAATTTATGACAGTTTACGAATCAACACCATCCCCTAAATCCTGCTCACCCACATCCCAGGCCACAGGAGCCTGCTGCCAGTTGAATAAAACCCTCACCCATGCTGCTCTCAGCCTTTCAGAGACAGCTTAAGCTGAGCTGTGATTCGGGTCATTAAGAGTTCCACCTGAATACAAAATGAAATTCTACACTGGTTCTACCCCTCTAAAATATGTCAATTGACATTTTTACCCCTTTGAAATATGACATTCCTATAAAACTTTGTTTTCCTCAGATTTATAACTTTGAGATTTCCTCGATTTTATAACTTAGAAATTCTTCTAAAATTAAATAAATTAAATATCACAACTTTTCTCTTTTTCCTTTTGTTTTAAGGCAGCTATAGACTCCCTTTTTTTTCTTTCTTTTTTTCTTTTTCTCTTATAAATCCATAAGGTAATTGGCTTTCTGAAGAACTAACTGAATTTTCCAAATTTAATTTTAAAAGATGCTCCATAATATCCATTATAGCAAATGCTGCCCTGCAGATTCGATTAGCGGGCTCTCTGGACCTGCTTATTTCTGAATTGAAAGTGCAGTACAGCCTGGATAAATGAATTACCTGAGCAGCGGAACTTCTTGCTCTTGATCTGGCTGATTCGTTTGTTGGCAAGGCGACGCGGATTGCTGCATCGAGCGCCGCTGGTTTCTATCGGATTATCCTGCAGGTAATCAGCCAGCCACTTCAAATGGCAGTCGCACACAAATGGATTCTGAGCTAAATGTCTGAGAGAAGGATGGGATGTTTAATCAGAAGTGACCTGTGACACTGTACTCCATCACTGTTTTTCGCAAATGCAAACCTGAAGAGTAATTGAATAAGCTCCCAAAAACCTGGGCCTGGAGGAAACCACAGAGCTTCACATGAATGGGAGAACTCTGCGAGCTATCACGTTTTGTAGCTTATTAAGTCTGTTGTAAGTTTGTTCATGGAGGAAACAAAAATTAATATAGTAAAGCCTGCTTTAAAGGACACGGACTGACTGTGTACAACGTGCGGTGTTTTCACCTGAAAGCCTGATGTGATCAACTGAGAGGGAAATGCACCCATCTAAGTGCACCTGAGCTGAGAGATCAGTGTGCACTCTGCTTTAAAATAAATTTCATTGGCAAGCTCAGTTTTCTAAGGATCAAAAGGTGAGTAAATAAGAGTGGAATTGATACTTGCATATGATCACTGTGCCTAATAGAATTCTCCTTACATGTATTTCTGCCTGTTTTTGCCTGGATTATTTATAAAAAGTAAGACTTGGCTCTGTCCTTCACCAAAATTTGCATATTTCCCACAGGAATACGCAGTATATCACACTTTAATTGGACAGTTATACTTTGTTAATAGAAGTCCTCAAAATTTCCTTGGAGAAAAAAGCATTTATCTGTTGCTGTTATTACTTTTTTTTTGCTTTACAAAGTTGAACAGTACACTGGGAATCCGTCAGGTTTTACTCAGAGCTTGATTCTGATGTCAGTTAAATGAACTTGCACCCATCCTCTAATTTCCAGGGGAGCAGGACAAGGCTTTCTGATAACTGCAAAAGCTAAAAGAGAAATGTTTAAATGTGGCTTTGGACAGAGGTATAAAGTTCTTGTGAGGACATAACTGTGGTCTGTTGTTGCTAGTGTATTTTTATCATCTGTACAAACAGGTAGGTCACACCAAAATTAATGCCTCCTATTTATTTCCATGGAAACAGCAGCGGCTATAAAGAGCATAATAACACCATTTGACAGAGCAAATTCTCAGCTACAAAGCACTATTTTTCAACAGAGTCACTACCATTAGCTCTGCATTTTGACCAGTGATGATCAAGAGCATGCATGCTGAACTTGTCAAAATCTGCATCAGTGGAGGTGATCCACCATTACTGTTGCCACTGCTGAAATGCACCACTCACTCCTCCCTGAGCTACACCCGCTGTTTGGTCTCCATAAACATGCAGCAAGAATCAATGAACATAAGTGGATGCCATTTTTTTCTGCATTCAATTCTACACCTTTGCTTTAGACACACTTCCACGTCAGACACCATTTTCTCTGACATCTGTCACATGGCAACAGAATGTAAGAAATACTGGCAGGAAGGTTCAGCCCTACCACCACCTGACGCCAACATTCTGATGTTGTTGGCCAATGTAATAAAATAGGAGGCATTACTTTTGGAGCAGCCCTCCTACTTTTCTGTCTGCATATACAGACACAGAACCAGATTTATACCTATGCAGGAATTAACATATCTAAACAGCCATACACAATACTGTTTGTGAGGGGGTTGTTTCTTGTTTTTCATTTACATCAGGCTGGCAATTCAGTTCTGATGAAGTGTAAAACCCTCCATAAAGTTATCCAGCCATTTCTATTTATTTGCTTCCGATTTTGCTTCCAAATGCTCTTCTCCTAATGACTCCAATTCAAAGAGTCTCAGAAAATGTTTAGGGGATTTTCTTAATGTATTAAATAATACAATCATCATTTCCCCTGAAATGGGATGTCAGCTGAAATATAGTTTCAGGATTTATGAGTAGAAGAACTCAGTCCCAGTGAAGAGAGACACCAACTCAGTAGCTCACTAAAAACTGGTAGGCAAGGATTTTAACAGAATCTGCTGTTCATATATTGTGCAGAGTCAAATTTGTGTATTATCTTCCAACAAACAGCATGAATGAATGAATTCAGTATCTTTACGCACGTAGACATTTAGATTACTAAGGGCAGGCTGTGTCAATGGGTATCTGTGCTGAATTCACGCAACAGTTCTCTTTTGCCTGTTCCTTTTGTTTCTGCCAGAAAAGGAGGGGCTACTACCTCAATGTCTCTTCCAAATTATCTTAGTGTCAGATGCAGAGCCTTTGTAAAGACAGGTGACATCTTTGGGGAAAAGGGGAGAGCTGTCATTTCCAATACGCTTGCATACTCACAGAGTTTGAATCGATCGGAGAGGTGCAAAAAGCCCCTTGCTGATGGTCTGCAATTTGTTGTCATAAAGAGATAGCAGTTTGAGATTATGCAGACCTTGGAACGTGTTTACCCTCAGGCAGTTGATCTTATTGGCATTGAGAAGCCTGGAAAGAGAGGAAAGATTTATAATTCACTAATCTTAGAATAATCAAATAAAGATAGAGTGAACTTTGGGGTTAAATCTAAAAGATATTAACACGGTCACCAAAACCACATTTAAACATCATCATTTGCCTGCAACTTTGCAAAGGTGAAAAAAAACACTGGCAACATTAGTACTCAAAATTCCAAACAAATATTTAAAGAAGCCTCCAGCTTAATATACGCAGAAATGGCAAACACTTCCCCCCTTGCTTCTCCATGCACACACACACACAAAGCCCTCACTGAGAAGAGCCCTTTTTTCAATTTTCTTGTAGCCAGCAGCTGTCTTAAGTCGAACTGAAATTTCTGAAGGTTGACAACTTGTGATAAGCAGTGCAGGGTTAATCTGATCATGGAAGAACAGAAAATGTGATTCTTCTCAGAGACAAAAGGAGAGAAACATAGGGTCTGGACTAAAGCTAACAGAAAGGCAACTCATTTCATGCATAAGGACAGTCAAGAAGTGCGACAGATTAACCAGAGAAGTGCAGCCTCCATCAGTGGAAGTTTTCAATATGAGCAGCCTGCTCTGACTCAGTGAGCCGACCTGGCTTAGAGCAAAGGTTCAAAGTTTGATTGGCCTGAGGTTCCTTCCCAGTTCCACTGTCCCACAGTTCTCTGAAAAGACTGCATTCCAGCTATGTCAGATTTTTGTGCAGCTTTGGAAAAGCAGCACAAAGATGTTTTGAGATCCTTTTATTTATTTATGAGATTGCACATTTACACAGCAACCTGTTTGTAGAATTAATCAGTTCGGGCAGAAAATCTTGGACAATGCTTGTACAAGTTCTCTTATGTTACCCAGCCAGAGTCCTGGCTACCATACAGTATATACAACCCCAGCAACAAGCTGGATCTCCTTCTGAGACAAACAATCACCACTGTCATCTATCTATGTGATATTTCACACTTAAATGGAAAATAGACATGAAAGGACCTGTTCTTACAGAAGCCCAAATCAACATTTTTCAACGACTGTCAGAAAAAATGGTGCACTGCAGACAGTGGATAGCATAAATCCAGCTGTGTTCATCACAGTTCTTGCTACTTTGTAGATGAGTCTGAAGGGTTTAATACTGTGACCGTAATACCAAATGAGAAGACAAGTGTATTTATAGGTAGAAAGGAAAATATGTTTTCCATTCCTCAGCAAGCAAATTTGTTGTCTTAAACACACCTCTAAGCACAAGGAGCTTCAGTTCTCACAAAACCGTACACAGCACTCACACAACAGGGCAACCCACTGGGCAAGTAAAGTATGCTTTCTTCTGCTCCAAAGTATAACTTCAGGAAGTGTTTCCTCTCCACAGCAGCATACCTTTCCATTGCTGAAACTTTTGGAACACTCAGTACACCTCAGTGCTCCCACCAAAGTTTTGGCAGAGCCATATTACTCTACTGACAGTCTACAGCAATAGTAATATGCAGAAGATGGACACATTTGCCCACACTACTTTTCTCAAGGAGAACAGCAGTGTAGTGCTTTGGAATGAGATGTCAGAGCAGAACTCACCTCTAGCCAACAGAGCAGTCAATAATAATTCACCTGAATTTTCTTCTCAATAAGTCTTTGAGAAAGAATTTTGATGTAAGATAAGAGAAGGTCCCAAAAAAGGCAACAACAGATAAAGATGTTGTATTTTGCAAGGACGAATAGCTAAAATAATTTGAAGTCTTTATAACCAGCATTAGTATGACCCCTCTACTGCCTGCATTTCTGTGACTGTTAATTGTGACCTAATCCAAACTTCCATTGACTCCATCAGAAATAACTGTAATTTCCACATTAGGATTAGAGTGTAATGCATTAGACTTCTGAGGTGTTGCTCCAACATCAACGTTATCCCTTACAACTTGATTCTTATAGCCATTCATATGTCTAAACCAAAGCAATCTTCATTCCATCTCAGTTCTCATGCATTATGCATTTCTCTTTTATGCTTGAACATTATCTTTTATATAAATAACATGTTAATGAGTCATTGCAAGGCACAACCAGCCACTGAGCTTTGATCAACAGCCCCAGACATACACTTAATGCTACAAATCCCTATCTACTCCCTGTCTCCGGGTACTGGTCCCACATTGTTTTTAGGAAATGCACATTAACTTAGACTGGTTGCTCCACAACAGGCATGGTATTTAGTTGTACAAGAAGAAAACTGGAAGCTACGATGTATTTTGTTTTATTTTATGCTATCTTCTTCTATTATGATAGTAATAGCTTACATTGCAAGCAGTACTTTTATCAAAGCGTAAAGCAACAATAACAATTATCTCAGTAATAAGAGAATTTAAAACTGAGCTAATGTTGTTTCTATATATGCGAACAACCACCATGGCTGTTTGTAATGCTCAAGAAGTGCACACAGCAGCATTTAGCTGTGTTGGTGCTGCTCACTCTTGTGCAGAGCAAGCCTGGTCATCGCTGATCTCACTTACTAACTCCTCAGAGCAAAGCTGAGCTGCAACTGCAGTCCAACCCAGGATTCAAGTTCATTCTGTCTTTCAACAAAACATGAACAAACCCAACACTGGGAATTAGAATTTACAGTGTGACAAGTTTTCCTAGCATAAATTTTCAGTGACTGGATTCATGGCGATATAATCAGTGACATTCCTGCATAAACCAAATACCAAAATGAGCAAAACTGATCCTATGCACAGTCACACAGACAGAGGCACACACTCTGCTTTAAGCATCAGAGAAAGTAATTTGTAACAGGAAAGTGCTTCTGCAGACTGTTTAGAAGTGGGAATTCAGGTACTACAAAGCTTTTCCAAGGTGACAACACCTATTCCATCTCTCAACTACACAATATATGTGCAGTACCTAAGTCTAAAGAGGCAGATGGTGCACTTAATGGTAATCCAGATGTGGCCACACTGGGTGGATCATAACATGGATTAATGTCCAATTTCTGACCAGAATCAGCGAGAAAGGGAAACAAAAGTGAAAAACTAGGAGAAAGCAGAATAAATCACTCTTTTTTTTTTCTCCTCCTCCTTACTGTGAGTTAGAGGACGACTTTTGGCCATAAGCATTCAGGTTTATGTCTTTGAAACACTCAATTATTTTAAAATATCCTCTATGGGTATTATTCTAACTTTTTATTGATTCCTTCTTAAATGTCACAGCCCTCAGAGGCCTCTAATTATTAATTAGATATATGAGGCTGATCCCACAGTTAAAATGATAAGATTAAAGAAAAAAACAACAACCACAAAGGTGAATGAGAAAACATATTGTAGCAAGCAGGAATGCTGACCTGCCTAAACATTGAACTATGTTGTAAAACAGACTACGCGTTTGTTTTCATTGGACTTGCACCAAAATGAGAGGAAAGATTAAATGTTGAGTCTTATTTTTGCAATAATTGCATGGTATTTGTGTTGCACCAATTTACTGTGAAGGTAAATTTTACTAATTTTCCTGTTTTTTTGTTTTTGTTTTTTTTTTAATCAGCTTGATCAGATGAGGTTTACAGACAGCTTCCAGATGTGGTGCACCACTAAAAATAAAAAAAAAAAAGTTACGAAGTCAAGTAGCAATAAAACTGCATGCTACCTAGAGGAATGAGAGATCATTAACTCTCAATTTTCATCCCTCTGGATATTTAATAAATACAAGGAAACTCTCTTGCAAGTCCAGGACCACCACAGAATAGAGGAGGGAGGTGAAAGCCGTTGTGGTTACGCACCATTGAAGGCAGCGAGCAGAGCAGTGCAGTATCACCATTCTGTGATCCCGTTTCCTGAAAGAGGGAATTTGTCCACACGCTGAAATAACAACGTGTCTCAGCTAAGCCCTCTGAATGAACGCGTACTGAATTGGCACGGTAATTGGATCAGATGCTCATAAGCGCCATCTGCATAATTAAGATGGTCCCATAATTGAATTATATGCCCAAGCACAGTTTCAAGTGATTAACATTTAAATAACATTTTGAACTCCAAAATCAAAATGATGGAAGAAATTGTTTTTTAAGTGCAAATGGAGATGTTGATTTGGCTTTCACCCTTAACAACGTTTGTATTTTCAGCTCGGCGAAGTCACGTAATCAAACTATCAACAAATAACTACGTAACTAGAAACTGAAACAGCAGCCTAGCAACGCTAACACGCTGGGGACTGCAGGTTGGTTTCTGTTGCTGTACAATGGACCAGAAATCATCCTAGGTGCAGTAACCAGCACACAGGAAAGGGTGGGACAAATGCAGCACCGAACCACTAGAAAACTTCTTCTCTTTCCTTTCACCAGCTTTGTGTTTTAGCAATGATGACAACACGAGGCAAATGAATCCCATGAACTGTCCGGCACATCCCACAGGCCAGACTCCACTGGGGAAAAGAGAACTCACCAGAAAAAGACCAATTTAAAATGCACAGGAGAAGAGTGCTGAAGTTATTTGCACAAGTAAGAGCAGAATACAAATTCAATACACGTGCCTTTTATAGAATATCACTAGTCAAAAGCTGCACCTACATTCAAAGCACTGTATGGCAGCAAAGGAAGGGTGCTTGACAAAAAGCACTCCTTAGAGCTGCTACAGTATTTTGTTACAATACAACAGACCTGTCAAAATATTTCTTCAGCATGGTTTTTTCAGTGTTTTGTCTTGAAAACTGTAGGGAATGGAAAGCCATCCACTACAGGACAACAGCAGAAGCACCAGTATACAAGTGGGGGTTTAAGAGCTGGAATAAGGTAATCCTTAAAGTTCCCTCTGACCCAAGCCATTCAGTGATCCTAACTATGGAGTCATATAAAGAGCCACACAGCCAACCCAGCAGTCACCGACAAGCTGTGCTGAATGACAGAGCTGTGTGTCCCTGCTTACTTATTGGCAAAATAATTCTGTTAGGTTCCAGGAGAGTTTCTGAATGGCCTGGAGTGTAAAACAGCCATCTGAATGCCTCTCTGCATAACGATACTTCGACATCCACTAAAATTTACAT